TGAAGTTGTCAAAATTGAAATGGAATGCATAAAGATCAATATCCTAGGCGTTAGTGAGATGAAATGGACTGGTATTGGCCATTTTTAACCAGATAATCATATGGTTTATTATGCTGCAATGAGAAATTAAAGAGGAATTCATCACACTTATTGTCAAAAATATTTCCACATCCTGAAGTACAATGCAGTCAGTGACAGGATAATATCCATATACATACAAGAAACACCAATTAATATGACTATAATTCAAATTTATGCACCAATCACCAAAGCAAAAGGAAGAACTGAAGTTTTTTTAACCAGCTTCTGCAGTCTGAAATTGACCAAATATGCAACTGAGATGTATTGATAGTTACTGGTCATTGGAATGTGAAAGTTGGAAACAAAGAAGTATCAGTATTTGGAAAATACGGCCTTGGTGGTAGAAATGATGGTGGAGATTGAATGATAGAATTTTGCACACCCAATGAATTACTAATTGTAAATACCTTTTTTCAACAACATAAATGGTGACTATACATAGGACCTCACCAGATGGAATATACAGGAATCAAATCACGTAAATCTGTGGAAAGAGGTGATGAAGAAGCTCAAAATTATCAGTCAGTACATGGCTAGGGGCTGACTGGATCAGACCATCAATTGCTCCTATGCAAATTTAAATTGAAGCTGAAGAAAATTAAAACAAGTCCACAAGAGACAAAATATGACCTTGAGTATATCCCATCTGAACTTGGAGATCATCTAAAGAATAGGTCTGATGCACTGAACACCAGTGAACAAAAACCATATGGGACATGGAATGACATCAAGAACATCATACATGAAGAAAGCAAAATGTCACTAAAAAGACAGGAAAGGAAGAGAAGACCAAAATGGATGTCAGAAGAGATTCTGAAACTTGCTGTTGAGTGGAGAGTAGCTAAAGCAAATGGAACAAATGACAAAGTAAAAGACCTGAAGGGAAGATTTCAAATGCCAGCTTGAGAGGACAAGGTGAGATATTATAACGAAATGTGCAAAGACCTGGAGATAGAAAATCAAAAGGGAAGACCATGCTCCACATTTCTCAACCTTAATGAGCTGAAGAAATAATTTAAGCCGTGAGTTGTAGTACTGAAGAGTTCTATGTGCAAAATATTGAACAATGCAGGAAACATCAAAAATAGATGGAATACACAGAATCTGTGTACCATAAAGAATTTGTTGATGTTCAACCATTTCAGGAGGTAGCAGATGATCAAAAGCAATAGTACTGAAGGAAGAAGTCCAAGTTACATGGAAGGAACTGGCAAAAAAACAAGGCTCCAGGAATTGGAAAAATACCCATTGAGATTTTTCAACAAATGGCTGCAACTCTAGAGGAGGTTACTCATTTATGCCAAAAAATTTGGAAAACCTGGCCAATTGATTTGAAGAGATCCATATTTGTGTCCATTCCAAAGAAAGGTCATGCAACAGAATGAGGAAATTATCAAACAGTATCATTAACATGACACTCAATTAAAATTTTGCTGAAGATAATTCTAAAATAGTTGCAGCAACACATTGATAAGGAATGGCCAGAAACTCAAGCTAGATTCAGAAGAGGACATGGGATGAAGAATACCATTGTTGATGTCAGACGGATCTTGGCTGAAAGCAAAGAATATGAGAAAGATATTTACTTGTATTTTACTGACTATGCAAATGCATTTGACTGTGTGGATCGTATACAGTGAATAACAGCAATTCCAGAACACTTAATTGTGCTCATGAGGGAACTTTACAAAGACCAAGAGGCAGAGGCTTGAACAGAACAAGGGAATACTGCATGGTTTAAAATCAGGAAAAGTATGTATCAAGAGTTGGATCCTTTCACTGTACTTATTCAATCTGTATGCTAAACAAATAATCAGAGATGACAGATTATAGGAAGATTGTGGCATCAAGAATGGAGGAAGACTCATTAACAACCTGCAATATGCAGATGACACAACCTTGCTTTCTGAAAATGAAAAGGAATTGAAGCATTTACTGATGAAGATCAGTATGGATTACACCTCAACATGAAGAAAACAAAAATCCTCAGAACTTGGATAATAAGCATTATCTTTATAAATGGAGAGAAGACTGAAGTTGTCAAAGATTTCATTTTACTTAGATCCACCACAATCAATGCCCAAGGAAGCAGCAGTCAAGAAATCAAATGACATACTATATTTGGCAAATCTACTGCAAATGATCTTTTTAAAGTGTATAAGAGCAAAGATGTCACTTGAACACTAAGGCGTGCCTGACCCAAGCCATGGTATTTTCAGTAGCTCCATATGCATGTGAGAGCTAGGCAGTGAATATGAAAGACTGCAGAAGAATTGGTGCTTTTGAATTATGGTGTTGGGGAAGAATACTGAAGGTATTATGGACTCCTAGAAGAATGGGACGCATCTGTCTTGGAGGAAGTACAGCCAGAATGTTCTTCTATCATACTTTGCTCATGTTGTCAGAAAATAAGAATCCTTGGAGAAAGATATCATGGGTAACGTGGAAGAGTTGGCAACAAATGGGAAGACCCTCAATGACATAGAGTGACAGTGGCTGCAATGATAGGCTCAACCATGGTAATAACTGTGAGGATGGTGCAGGACTGGGCAATGTTTCCTTCTGTTGTATGTGGGGTAAGAGTCAGGACGGACTCAACAGCACCTAAAGCAAAGTTTAAAATTATGACATTTACAGTGAACCTGAATTGCTTTCCTACGGGCAGAGATAGCATCGGTTAAAGTGGTAACTTTCAATTTCTGCTAGTCACTTAACTAGCTCCACAAGGAATTTATCTATTTCTATAGGACATTTCTGAAAGTAGCAAGACACATTCAACACAAGAACATTTTGAACTATCTCCATTATTTTCCCCTAACATTATAGCCTTACCTTTCCACAAGGTCTTATGAGACAGAATGGGAGGCAGCCTAACTCTCCCGCCCCAAAAAACAAGTACCTTCTGTTTTCTAGCCTTTTTCTTCATGGCCCTAAGCTAATGCCACATTTTGAAATTTCTTTTACCCACAACACCCCACTTACAGCTACCATAGATTAGTAAACTAGCTAAAAAATGTTATATCCTGAAGAGTGATGTTGTAGTGTCAGTAAGTGAGAACTATTACAGCATCAACAAATAAGTTTATTTTAATTTTATGTAAAGATATACAAGAGATAGGCAGATCACAGTTGCAATGTCTTCCACAAAATCAGCAAGGTTTTAGAGTCCTGTATTTCTACTTCACCATTTTTAACACCCAACATTCATTCTCAAAGTCCTCACAAGATTGTTGTATCTCTCTAGGTTAGATGTCCACATTGCAGGCAAGGGGAAAAAAGAATGGCAGAGAGGAAAAGACATTTCCTAAATATCTTAATGACACCAGTACAACTTCCATCTTGTTGATCCACTAGGGAGGCGTAGACCAATTTCTGAGCTCAGAATTCAGTTACTAAGGAAGACAACATAGATATTGGGTAGGAAAACAGTAATCTCTAACACAGGCTTTCATTATTTTTTATTTCAAAATCATCTGCAATGTCCGTTTTTATTTTCAGCTTAATCCGAAATGTATACACTTAAGTTTTAAAAATTTTCCTAGTGGAAATACTAATTTCAGCTTTTTTTCTTCATTTCTAAATAGTAATTTTGAACTGTGGCTGGAGATGCTGGAAAATATGAGTTTTAGGACTTTGCTATAAGTCACTTCACACCTCTCCCAAATTCTCTAACAGCTGTACTAACAATCCAATGATTAAATCCACAAGGTTCCTTTGCAATATCAATTTCTTCTTATACTGGTGAAATCTGAATAAAAGGTTTCTTACATTCATTACAGCATACAGTCCCCTTCCCTCCACAAATAATCTGGTGTAAATGCTAATGAAACATTTAATAATCATTACAGTCATAGTGTACCCCTCTCACATAAATTCTCTAAAATAAGACTAATGATTATGATACCTAACTTTTGTGATATACAGGCAGTCACTGGGTTATGAATGTCTGACTTATGTAAAACTTGCAGTTATGAACCAAACCCCATAAAGCCTATTATATTAAAAATTTTGGGTGCATACATGGTTTTTAATAACAAATGGGCACTATTTTTCAATGTGCATTAATAAAGTATTATTATTACTGCATTATTATGTTAAAGATGTAGTGTCATCTTGAAATATTCAATGATTTTATGCATAATATGGTACACTATATACTATATACATTTGTAACTAACATTTGACTAACTAATGTTAGTTACAAATCATACTTAACTTTTCCAACTTATATACAAATTTGACTTAAAGACAGACTTAGGAAGAAAATTTGTTTGTTGTAATCTGGGGACTGCTTGTACTGTTCAAGGCACTGTTCTAAGAGCTTTGCATGTAATAACCCATTTAATACTTCCAATAAACACAAAGTATTAGTCTTAGGACTGTCTTACAAATGATTAAATAAGGAAAACCAAAAACAACACTCTGGTCAATTCTGACTCATAGCGACCCTATAGGAAAGAGTAAATGTTCTCCACAGTTTCCAAGGCTGTAATCCTTATGGAAGTTGACTGCCACATCTTTCTCATGTAGAGCAGCTGGAGGATTTGTACTGCTAACCTTCTGGTTAGCAACCACATGCTTTAAGCACTGCACTACCAGGGCTCCTTCATTAAACCAAAGCTGAAGTTAATATGCTACAAAGGAAATCAATTAGTAAAACCATGATGATGTTGAAAAAGACATATGGTATGGCTAATAGCTTTCCTACATTTATGACATTACCAGACTAATCTTGCATTGTAATTTTCTAAAGTTTAATAGGTTTTCTGTAATGATAGTTTTTTCTACACTGTCTTTTCTCTGTATAAAATCTCATGCCGAACTGTATGAAGCAAATGTGCTCCCATTTTCACATTTGTAAGAATTCTTTAATGATGGGTTAGTGACAAGAATAGGTTTTCTACCTGACCATGGACAACTCATATATAAACTTTTGAGCCATAATTAAAGTTCATCTCACATTCTTTATATTCAAAAGATTTCTCATTGATATGAATTCTTTGATGTTGAGTTAGTTGTGAGCCACGAGTAAAGGCTTTCCCACAGTCCTTGCAATGATACAATTTCTCGCCAGTATGAATTCTCTGATGTCGAGAAAGATGTGAGCTCTGAGTGAAAGCCTTTCTACATTCTTTACATTCATAGGGCTTCTCACCAGTATGAATTCTCTGATGTAGAGTAAGTTGAGAGCCATGACTAAAGGCCTTCCCACACTCCTTGCATTCATAGGGTTTTTCTCCAGTGTGAATTCGTTGATGTTGAGTAAGTTGTGAGCCTCGAACAAAGGCCTTCCCACATTCCTTACAATGGTATGGTTTCTCACCAGTATGAATTCTCTGATGTTGTATAAGTAGTAAGCCACGAGCAAAGGCTTTCCCACATTCACCACATACATAGGGTTTCTCACCAGTATGGAGTCTCTGGTGTTGAGAAAGATGTGAACTCTGAGTAAAAGCCATTCTACATTCTTTACATTCATAAGGTTTCTCACCAGTATGAATTCTCTGATGTTGAGTAAGCTGTGAGCCACGAATGAAAAACTTGCCACATTCCTTACATTCATATGGTTTCTCACCAGTATGGATTCTTTCATGTTGAGTAAGTTCCGAGCCACGACTAAAGGTCTTTCCACATTCTTTACATTCATAGGGTTTCTCACCAGTATGGATCCTCTGATGTCGAGTAAGAAGTGAGCCACGATTAAAGGCCTTTCCACATTCCTTACATTGATAAGGTTTCTCACCAGTGTGAATTCTCTGATGTTGAGTAAGTTGTGAGCCATGACTAAAGGTTTTTCCACATTCCTTACATTCGTAGGGCCTCTCATTGGTATGAATTCTCAGGTGTTGGGTAAGTTGTGAGCCACGGATGAAAGCCTTCCCACATTCTTCACATTTATAGGGTTTTTCACCAGTATGAATCCTCTGATGTTGCATAAGTAATGAGCCCCGACTAAAAGCCTTTCCACATTCATTACATTCATATGGTTTTTCTCCATTGTGGATTTTCTGATGTTGAGAAAGTTGTGAGCCACAAATAAAAGCTTTCCCACATTCCTTGCATTCATAGGGTTTCTCACCAGTATGAATTCTCTTATGTAGAATAAGTTGTGAGAGCTGAGTAAAGACCTTTCTACATTCTTTACATTCATAGAGTTTTTCGCCAGTATGAAGTCTCTGGTGCAGAGTAAGTTGTGAGTTCTGAGTAAAGGCCTTCCCACATTCTTTACATTCATAAGGTTTCTCACCAGTATGGACTTTTTGATGTCGGGTAAGTTGTGAGCTACGAATAAAGGCTTTCCCACATTCTTCACATTTGTATGGTTTTTCACCAGTATGAATTCTATGATGCAAAATAAGTTGTGAGCTCTGAGTAAAGGCCTTCCCGCATTCCTTGCATGCATAGGGTTTCTCACCAGTATGAAGTCTCTGATGAAGACTGAGCTGTGAATCACGACTAAAGGCCTTCCCACATTGCTTACATTCATAGGGCTTTTCACCAGTATGAATACTGTGATGTTGAGTAAGGTGTGAAGCTCGTCTAAAGGCTTTCCCACATTCCTTACATTTATAGGGCTTCTCAGTAGAATGACATCTTGGATGTTGAGATAAATAAGTATGCTGGTTGAAAATGGCCATTTTTTCATATGTGATCATCCCTTCCCTAATATATTCTTCTTGGTTTTCTTGTTGCCTCTCCAATTTGCCATTAACTTCCAAATAATTCCTGGAAATGGACCCCTCAAGATCACAGCTTTCAAGCCTATCAGTCATTTTCCATTGGGATATTTCTGTTTCTTTTTTTGGAGGTAAGTCCTTACTTGCACACCTTGAAGGGAAGTCTGAAAGATAAGAGAAAATCAAACACTTTTGCTGTAATTTCATTTGAAATAGAACTTCTAAAGCAGAAAAAAAGAGCTAATAGGAAAATAATACCCACAATATATAAATGGTTTACATCAGCATTTTTCAAATTTTGTTTAATATTACTTTTCACATCATAACATATAAAACACTGCTTTCTTATCTATACTTATTCTAGTCTATTTCTCTCTCTCTCTCTTTACACACAAGATAGGTAAAACCTACTCAATTGATTTCATGGTCTAGTAATGGGTTGCTATCTAGGACTTGAAAAATATTAGCTTAGAATAATGTCATATATTAACATGTAAAATGGCACTTGAAAGATCAGAGAATCATGAAAGTTCACCTGAGAAGTCAATGGAAGAAATGAAGAAAACTCTAAGTCAGTGGTTCTCACATTTCAGTGGGGATTAAAATCACCAAGGGAGCTCATTAAAATTGACGATGCCCAGATATCACTCCAGACTAACTGTAAGTGAATCTACTCATGAAACAGAAAAAAAGAAACAACAACAACAAAAAAAAAAAACATGGATCTATACAGTCTTAATATATTCTACCAAATGATTCTGATTGAGATATAGAGCAAGATTTGCTATCTCTAGTTAAAACTTTTAAATACTTTCCAAATTATACTTAGAATAGAGTCCTAACTCTTTTCCATGACTTTGACAAAGTCTTCCATCATCTTTAAGGTCCCTGCTGGCCCACAAGTTGAAAACTATAAAAAGTCAGGGAGATGAGCCCAGCATTTGGGACATTTCCCCTTAGGGCAGTCTTTCAATTCTTGCAAAAAGCAATTGAGAAGTAGAGAAACTAAGCAGTGTTTTGGACTGTTCCATAGGGCTTGAGAAACAATAATGGAAGAACAGAGCCAAACATAAACTCTCCATACTTTGGGCTGAGGATTCTAATGTGTAAAGGGAGGTGTAAGGGAGAAATAGTAGATCAGCCTATGCAGAGTCTGAAACATCTTTAAATCAGCTCAAATCCATCAATGTCTATTAAGGTTATTCCATACTGCTTGTCACACACAAACTTAAATCTTCATTGGAGATGTATATCACTATCCAAGGCTTCAAATTATTTTGTAAGTTTTCTGTACAATGTCTAGCATTCAATAAAAAATAACAAGGTAAATGAAGGTACAAGACAACTGAAAAATGAGAGGGGAAAAATACAATTAAAAAAAGACCTACAAGGGCTCAACCCACATATCCACCACCACAGGAATGATACAGAGCAGTTCTATCCCTCCTAAAATACTCTCTGCTACCTCATTTTATTCAATCCCTCTTTCCACACTAGAGATAAGCCCTTGGAAAATACAGTTTATTACCTCCTTAGAGATAGATACAAAAGGACATCCATACTATATCAAAGGTAAAAATGGCAGAAGTGAACATATATGTATAGCCCTTGTCCAAGTGAATTGTGCCCCCTGCATAAAAAAAGATATACATCAGTCCTAAATCCCATACCTGTAAATGTTACCCTGTTTGGAAATAGTCTCCAAAAAGGGGATCAGTTAGGTTAACATGAGGCCATAATAGAGTAGGGTATATCCTAACCTATAAGACTGCTGTCCTTAAAAAAGAGATGATACACAGGGACAGGGAGACAGAAATAAGCCATACAATGCTGCAATTGCCAGAGATCTTATCAGAAGCTAAGAGAGGAACAGAACAGTGTTGTCAGAATAAATCAACTGGCTGACACTCTGATTTGGATTTCTATCCTCCAAAACAATGAGCTAAAAAATGGCTGTACTTTAAAGTCACCACTCAGAGGTATTTTGTCATGGTAGCACTAGAAACTAATAGAACTCTTCAGTTGCCTTGCCTCTTAAATAATGCTTCCTGTGTATTAGCCACAGTAATCTTTTTTTTACTTCTTCCATCCCTTTATAAGCAAGATATTAAGTTGTTTTTGTTTACTTATCCTTATTTCACAGTCTGTCTTCTTCCTTTATGCCTTGTCTCACATCCTTTCCTTGCCCTTCTATCCAGGATCAACTCTATTTGTTCCTTCCAGAAGGATATGTTTATCATTTCCCAGGCACTGTAAGAGTTATGGAAGCTCTGGTGGCATAGTGCCTAAGGCATTTTACTGCCAACCAGAAGGTTGGTGGTTCAAACCCAGCAGCCACTCCTCAGAAGGAAGGCTGGACAATCTACTTCCATAGTAACATAATGAAACATTTCTGGAATTCTACTAAATATTTGGGATGTTGGAGGAAAAAAGGCAATTATATAGTATAGGGGAAGGAGATTGGAGTAATAAAGTGTGACAAATTCTACCAAAAAGAAAAGTAACAAAAATGAACTAGGTATAGATGTGTTTGATATGATATAACTGAGGGCAATGCAGATCAAGAAATAGAACATTAAGTCTAATTCACTGGTGCTAGGAATGCAAAGTGATATAACCACTGTGAAAAATTTGGTAGTTAAACATATACACACTATATGATCCAGTAATCATACTCTGAGGTATTTATACTTATGTTTGGAGAAAAATCTCTACAACAAAATTTACAGCAGCATTATTCGTAATTGGCCCAAATTGTAACAACTAAGATACCATTCAAGGGGTAAATGAATCAACATAGTATATTCATACAATCAATTACTGTATTTCTTTTTGTTGCTGTTGCTGTTGTAGTTGTTAGGAGCTGTTGAGTCAGCTCCAACACTTAGTGACCTTACGTACAAGAGAACAAAACATTGTCCAGTCCTGTGCCAGCCTCACATTCCTTGCTATAGCTGAGACCATTGGTTTAGCCACTGTGTCAATCCATCTTGTTGAGGGCTTTCTCCTTTTTTTGGTGACCCTCTACTTTACCAACTATAATATCTTTCTACAGGGAATGGTTCCTTCTGACAACAAGACTAAAGTAGGTAAGACAAAGTCTGGCTATTCTCACTTCCAAAGAGCATTCTGGCTGCACTTCGTCCAGGACAGATTTGTTCATTCTTTTGGCAGTCCATGGTACTTTCAGTATTCTTCACCAACACCACAACTCAAAAACATCAACTCTTCTTCAGTCTTCCTTATTCATTGTCCAGCTTTCGCATGCATATGTGGTGATTGAAAACACCAAGGTTTGGGTTAGGTACACCTTAGTCTTCAAAGAGACATCTTTGCTCTTCAGCACTTTAAAGAGGTCTTTGGCAGCAGACCTGTCCAGTGCAATAGGTCATTTGATTTCTTGACTGCTGATTCCATTGGTGTTGATTGTGGAACCAATATGGTATCTTTGACAACTTCAATCTTTTCTGTTATATATTGTGATGCTGCTTATAGGTCCGGCTGTGATGATTTTTGTTTTCTTTATGTTGAGATGTAATCCATACTGCAGACTGTAGTCTTTAAATTTCATCAGTGTTTCAAGTCAACTTCACTTTCAGCAAGGAAGTTTGTGTCCTCTGCATATCGCAGATGGTTAATAAGTCTTCCTGAATCCCGATGCTGCATTCTTCTTCATATAGTCCAGATTATCAGATTACCTGGTCAGCATACAGACTGAATAACTATAGTGAAAGAAAACAACCTTGATGCACTCCATTCCTGATTTGAAACAATGCAGTATCTCCTTGTTCTGTTTGAATGACAGCTTCCTGATCCATGTACAGGTTCCTCACAAGTACAATTAAGTATTCTGGAATTCCCATTCTTCTAAATGTTATCCACAATTTTTTATGGTCCACACTGTCAGATGCTTCTGCATAGTCAACAAAACATAAGTAAACATCTTCCTGGTATTCTTTCCTTTCACCCAAGATCCATCTGGCATCAGCAATGACATCCCTTGTTCCACATCCTCTTCTGAATCCAGCTTGCATTTCTGGAAATTCCCTGTCAATATACTGCTGCAACCATTTTTGAATTATCTTCAGCAAGATTTTACTTGCATGTGATATTAATATTGTTTGATAATTTCCACATTCTGTGGAATCACCTGTCTTTGGAATGGGTACAAATAGGGATCTCTTCCAGCCAGTTGGCCCATAGCTGTCTTCCAAATTTCTTGGCATAGACGAGTAAGTGCCTCCAGGAAGGCATCTGTTTGTTGAAACATCTCAATAGGTATTTCCATCAATTCCTGGAGCCTTGTTTTTCACCAATTCCTTCAGTGTGGCTTTGACTTCTTCCTTCAATACAACTGGTTCTTGCTCATATGCCACCTCCTGAAATGGATGAACATCGAACAATTCTTTTTGTTACACTGATTCTGTTTATTCCTTCCATTTTGTTTTGAAGTTTTCATCATTCGCTATTTTGCCATAGAAGCTCTCAATATTGCAACTCAAGACTGGAATTTTTTCTTCAGTTCTTTCAGCTTGAGAAATGTTGAACGTGTTCTTCCCTTTTGGTTTCTAACTCCAGGTCTGTGCACTTTTCATTATAATAATTGATTTTATCTTCTCGAGCTGCTCTTTGAAATTTTCTGTTCAACTCTTTTATCTTGTCATTTCTTCCACTTGCTTTAGCTACTCTCTGTTCAAAAGCAAGTTTCAGAGTCTCTTTACATCCATTTTGGTCTTTTCTTCCTTTTTTTATCTTTTTATTGGCCTTTCCCTTTCTTTTGTAGTTCTTGATGTCATCCCACCATTCATTTGGATTTCAATCACTGGTATTCAATGCATCAAATCTTTTCTTTAGATGGTCTCTAAATTCAATTGGGCTATAACCAAGGTCATATTTTGGCTCTTGTGGACTTATTTCAATTATGTTGAGCTTCAGTTTGAACTTGCATATGAGCAGTTGATGGTCTGTTCCCCAGTTAGCTTCTGGCCTTGTTTTGGCTGAAAATATTGACTTTCTCCACTGCCTCTTTCCACAGATGTAATCAATCTGATTCCAATGTATTCCATATGATGAAGTCCACATATAAAGATGCTGTATATGTTGTTGAAAAAAGGTATTCACAATGAATAAGCTATTGGTCTTGCAAAATTATATCATGTGATCT